TGTTTCGGCCGGGTTCCCTAAACCCCAACAACTTAAAGATGGGTGGCCTCAAACTCCAGGAACCCCCGGCAAGAATGGTTGGCTGGGGAATTCTGGGAATTGAAGTCCACCCATCTTAAAGTTGCTGAGGTTGAGGGACCCTGATCTAAGTAATCACTCTGTCCCTTTTTCAAGTAGGGGTTAGGGATGAGGTCTGAGTTTTGCAGACAAAGGAGAACATTTCTCATTTTTCGTTTTGGAAAGATGTTATGGGTTCACAAGGAACTTTACTTAGACCTAGCAGGATCTTGCTTCTTATCAGTACATTATAAAATCTAGCTTTAAAACACACACATACACATACACACTGAGCTAGAAAAAACAGAGCCACAGGATCCCTGGTAAGAAAACAGAGGCTGTGTTTCTTAAATGGCAACTTCTGCTGAGCTTCTAAGCCTTTCTGCATTTTGGATGGGTTTGGGGTTTTATTTTGGCACGGTCCAGTCACAGAAGCATTTCTTGTTTCTAGGGCTCTAACCTCAGTGAAGAGCTGCCCTGAAAACAGCCAGCTTAGGACAGTCCGTTCTTTGAGACCAACTCCTTTTTTTTTTAAGTCTAATAACTGGAATGCCAGAATGTCTAGCTGTTGTCAAATGCTGGAGTTCAGCTTTGCCCTTTGCAATATGTTCGTCTGAGATAACTCACACCTTGACAATTGAGACTGACACTCACCTAGGGACAAAATAAGGCATGTTTGCTCTCCCTGGTGCTGTGGCAACATGTCAGGACTATGCAAGAGAGACAGACAGACAGACAGACAGACATTCAACATTCAAGGGTTGGATGCAACAAGGAAATCCAGATGAGGGAGCCTTACGTGGAAAAGGCGTTGTTTTGCTTCTCACAACGGATCCCTTTGCAATGGTTGGGTTCTTCAGAGGCACTCGTCTCATAATAGAAATAAAGCTGGTTGAGTCCATTGGCAAAAGCTAGGAGCACCAGGCAGTAAATAAAGAGGAATTTGAGGATGTCTAGCAGCATACGTCCCAGAGAGATCTGCAGGGGTCCCAGGTGAGAGTTTGCTGTAAACAGGGAGATGAGACGCAAGGAGCTTAAAATGTTTGAAATGGCAAAGAGGGCTTCTGCTATGAGGGTTGGGTGCCACATTTCCCATTCCTCCCTCGGACGAGAACCATTGTACTGCAAGAAATAATAGGGGAAGGGGGAAAGGAATACAGGTGAATGCTTGCTGGTCAACTTATTAAGAGACATCATTTCGCGTCGCTAAAGCCTTCCGCTCATCCACGCTCTGTCTCTCTCACACACGAGTGCGCACGCACAGGCAGACCAGACAATTACATGAAAATGGAAGGGGGCCATTGCAGGACAGGGGAATTTATCTCCCGCTAGTTCCCTCCTTCCCCCGACGTTCCACCATACTTGATTCCCAACGTAAGCACGTAGCACACTGAAAGAACCAGGAGAATGTGGCTTATTCCTCCCTTCCATTAGAACACAGTCCTGATGACCAGACTGGATAAACTATCCTGTGATTAAAGAACAAAGCAAAGGTGCACCTCCACCAGTAATTAGGAGTGTGCATGAACTAGGAAAGGCATCTTATTTCAAGCGCAGAACAAAACCGTCCCGTCAAAATGTCAGTTTGGAACAATTGAGTTGGCTGGGTTCCACTGGAACAAATCTCAGACGAGCTGAAGCATTTTATTTCAACCTGAACCTCAAAAGATAATTGTCAGAGCGCATAAGTTTTGTTCTGAGCTCAGCACACTTAAAAGAGCCACGGTGATCTCAAAGCATTTTGAACTTGAAGTGAGCTTGTGTCTGAATTTTGCTTGCATGTCCAAGAAAAGCTAATGGGGGCACTCAAGTGGGAGAGTTTTCTCAAATATTCTCCAAAGGGAATTCAACAGGGATTTTTTTGGGGGGTGGGAAGTCTAATTAACAGTTGCAAGAGATACTTCGCACTGTATTCTTTGGGGATAATTGAAAGATAACAACTCAGATATTTTCCATGGGAGGAAATAATTCTTTTCTGCAAAATTTTGGTTATGTGCTGCAGCAAATCTTCTATTGGAGGAGCGGGGTAGACAGATCATCTCAAGTAAACTAATGTGATTTTTGGTTTCCTCCTCAAAGAAACTATCTGAGGAGCTTCTGGAGGATACTAGAACATCTCATCTCATTTCTCTGGATAGTTCCAACAGACCAACACCCATTTTTACAAAGAATGAAATCTGAGGTGAATTTGGAGATTTCTTCCTCTTTGGTCCTGTATTTATATTCATATGCAAAATTGGGAAACATTTGTGCACTGCACCTTCCTCAACTGAGATACCTAATTTCTAGAGACTGAGAAAATGTGGTAAAAGCAGACAAACATTTACACTGAGGTACATGAACCATGGGGTCAGCAACACAGCCCTTGTAGGCCCCTGAGGGCCAAATGCCTTCTGAAAAGGTGGTCATCCATTCCCAGAATCAAATCGAATCACACCATAAGTTTTAGAAAGAATGGAATTCAGAGCTGTCCCATGAGATCTCAGAGTATGATTCCCAACATCGCATCAGATTTAAGAATCTCATGAAGGCCATTTTTTTTAATCTGAATGTGCGTTTAGTGTGTTTACAAGCCCAGAAGTCACTGAATGCTTAAACCGATTCAAAGGCACCCAATTTAGTTCGGCATGCCTCTTTTCTCCCCACACCATTTTTCACAGCAGTGCTATGTTGTATAGGAGAACTGAGCAGGATCTGGCCTCAGGATTGCACAAATCTTCCAAGTTCCTTTTTGGTGGTCTTCAGAGGTCCCCTGGCTAGGCTGACTAAAAACAGATAATTTGGTTTTCTGCCATTTTGCAATGGGGCACAGATGACAATTATAATGTCAAGCCTTATATGACTGGCCCCAATCACTCTGCAGCCAGTTTCCTCCAAAGGATCATTCTTGGCCTTTGGCTAGCAAAACATTGCAGACATTTGGTGTAAAGGAATGTCCTACTGAAAGCTGAGCCAACAGATAGCAGTATATTTCAAGAGAAAGCAAAAATGGCTGCCATCAATATGGCTGTTTCCCTGGTAAACTCTCAAAAAGGAAATTATTTTATTCTAGAACTAAAGAGCAAATATTTTGCTTGCTTTTTAAGGTCAGATATTTTATTTTCCTCTCCCTCTTCCCACCTTGGGGGAAATATAAATGGATTTGTCTTGCTGCTGACAAACACATAAATTCAGTTGAGCTATAGGAACGGGGAATTCTTAAACTTCTTTAAAAAATAAAAGCAATTCTTTTCAAGCACAGAGGAACTAAAATTGTGTACAAACATATTTCTACATGACTTCTAATTGTTTCTGACAGTTCAAACTGTTCTCTACATCTGTGAATGTCATGGATAGAACTTGATTTGTAGAAGGCCCTTAGAAAACTCGCTTTTAACTCTTCACTCGGTCTTTATCTGGAATTTACAAGAAGAGAGTGAAATGGTGCTTTAAAACAGAGGCCAAGAGGGTTCTAGGATACTAAATATGTCTTGCGATCCCTGACAAATTTCTCCCCAATGTGCCTGGCTCGTGGTCAATGTGTCTGCCGGATCCCACAGAGACAGAACCTGATGAAATCATTTGCTTACCCAGATATTTTGGGTAAGGGGGAGGGGGGAACAAACTGAAGGACAAACTCTAATGAGCTCATTTTAATAAAAGAAAAATGTCAGTGACACACCTTTCTCTCATCCTGCATAGCTTTTGGCCCTTTCTTGCCAAAATCCTCAAGGCAACATTCCAAATCCTAGTGAATGTCAAAGAGACCTGGACATCACTTCTATGAAGATGGATGCTCCTCCCTTATTTCAGATGCGTGAATGTACTCCTCACTTGCAGTTAATGGCATGGACCAACTGGCCTTATCTGAACTTCTGTGCATGGCTGGTCGCTAACTGGCTTATTAGTTATTATTAGTTAGAGGAAAGGCCTATTGTTGGGTAATTGAAATTTCAAATATTTAGGAATGAAGCTGATTTCAACAAAATAACAGTTGATTTCACTGGCCACAATTCAGCTGTGGATGCAAGTAAATTATTGCATAGTAGGATGTTTAGCAGATGTGTGATGGAAGGGAATTATGAAGGCCAGGCTCAGGGAGATAAGCGTGTTCTTAGTTCGCCGGAGGAACGTGGGAAGTTCAAGAAGATGAGGCTGGCACCTCCCTAAGGAATTCACAGTGTTGT